GGCTATTTTTCGTAGAGAAAGGAAAGCTAAAATTTTCGAAATCGAAGATGCGATGCAGAGAGGAATCAGAAAAACTATCACTTTCGTAAAACTTTAAATTGCAGCTAAAATTTTCGGGAAAATAATACTGAAGCCCTCGTAATTTCGAAAAGACTCAAGTTGCCCTAGGCTGACCGAACAGATATAAATTTTTTAGCGCTACTTAGAATACATTCCTAGAGATCAAAAAGTACTCTGGGTAACCTAAAAAGTGTTTTCAAAGTATTTAGGGGGAAACCGTCGTTGGGTGCCCCTGACTAATGAGCGGCAAAGCCAAAGCGCGCGCGAACGAGCGGCGAAGACGCGAGAAAAATAAAAATCGCCACAATGTCTTCTCAGTTACCAAAAGCGCCATGCTACACAGTAACGCAGACTAACTTAGTTTAGCATTCAAGTCTGGTAAAAATTCAAATCCGTGTTCAGTCGAGAATCTTCGAAGCAATTCTTTGTTGCCTATGCATCTGCCTTTACGCTGGGTCTACCAGTTTAACAGTGTATAATTAACATTAACGGATAAGCCCTCAGGGGTACTGGATACTCTGGAAACTAATAATTTTCAATCATTTTAATTAACATCAAAGTGTTTGTAGACTTTTTCATCTCACTTTTTTATCAATTCTCCGAAGTGCTAGAACTGACATGAATGGTAATGACTAACTGAATTATAGTAGCCAAACAAGTTGAGCAGTCAACCGAAATTTCTAACAGCAATTCAAAACTTATATAGACCAACTTAAAAGCAAACATGGCAGAAGACAAAATCTGAATATATATATGCCACGACACCTTGAATGAACCCTTAGTGACTTCTACAGGTGGCGAGGAGAAAGAGCCACCAACAAGGAGCTTCTCTTTTAATATAAAATTTTTTTGTGTATGGTGACGGAGACGGTGTTGTCAGTATTTTATTAGCTTTCTTTTCTCCTTTGAACCTAGAACATGGCCTGTTTCGGGAAAAATCCCGTGATGTTTGAGTAAAATTATCATGGTACACTGTTTAGTATCGTTAACTAAAACCCCGTTATATTCGTTCATGTCCAAAATGCTAAGAACAAACTGATTTTGCTAAATAGTTTAGGATAAATTTCGCCTGTCTTTAGGAAAAATATAATGTAAAAGCTAGTGTCTATTCAGCCGTATCATCATGCCGTGCCATTTTCCAGAAACATCGATGTGTCGGCAGCAAAGAAATGCTTAATTTCACTGCCATTTCAGAAATAATGGATGTTTATGTACTAGACTTCACGTTAAGATAAAAGTAAGAGGTAAATATTAAGGCTTAAATTTCAGCTGCTTTATTGGAACAGATAATCAATGAACGACATTTTCCAAACTCAGACTTTGTTTTATTCTGGGTAAAAAACTCGAATGGAGATTCAAATGAGACACATGTTGAATGGAATCTTAGGCGAAGATGAGAAGGATTTTTAGTATATGCCTTTCCTAAATTATCTGGACTTAAACCATGGTGTGCGAGACTAGCCGAATGTGTCAGAAGTTTTTACTCTGCGTTCATTTGTGCGACGAGGCTTAAACCATGCAGTCCACTACGAAAATCTGTTTTGTGCATGCGCTACATTTTTTTCGTTGGTGTAATGATGAACTACTTTCTTTCCTCCTTTCCATAGGGGCAAAGTTTTATTACACTGTATTCAACACAGAACTGGATCGTCCGGTTTCGGGATTGCATGCCGGTGCAAAATAAACAGATTCTCGATGGAAACGCTGAAGATAGACAATGAAAGTTTCGTAACATTTATTGCTTCTAGCATTTTCTCTTCTTAGTTTCCGTTACTCTAATGATCGATGTTTTCCTTCTCGCAAGGTTGAAATATTATTAAATTGACCTAATTTTCAACTCTTCGTTCAACTCTGCATTTAATGAAAATTAAACAGCTCAAGATAGAAAACTGTTTTGATTCATGTGCTTTACCTTCTCGTTTACTGTATTAGATGAACCAATTTTCCTCCTCCATGCCTGAAAATAATCAGGACTAAAAAAAGTTACTCACACTCTATTCTAGAATTTCGGACCTTTTTTGGAACTTAGGGGCCACACACTCTTTTCCGTGGCGGGAGTAATTGGCGGGAGTGCCCAAGTGATAGATTTTTCAGACTGTACTGAACGTATGACAATTCAATTCAACGCTGCTGAAATTTGTTTCATTTCTGTTTTACTCTACTCTAATGTTAAAATAAAATGAGCAAATTGTGAAATCTAGATTCAGTTTTGGTACCACGAGCCTTGATTCTCTGAAATTAAGTTATAGAATAAATTCACTGGAAAAATGTGACTCCTCTCGTTCTTTGTTAGCTAAGAAACATCTGTTCCTCCGAATTATGTGAAAGTTTATGCTACAAGATATATTATTTAAGAAAAAGGTAATTTGTTTTGAGATAAACACAGGAATTTTAGCTATGTTTCACACGGGATTGTCTCATTCAATTGCCATTTATACAGACATTTCCCAGCCAAAACATTCGGAACATCGCAATTCATTGTTTAGTGAGTGTTCACTGGCCATGAGGAAACCTTTGCTTTAAAAAAGCCAATTTTCTCTGCTAAGTAAAAATCAGTCAGCCACCATTGCAAAGATCTTAAAAAAATCGCATCGAATTCGATTATAATCCTAACTTGTCATACATCACCAACCTCTTTTACGAGCGCAGAAGATTCCGCGGCGTTGGTATGCCAGTAAAATCCAGGGAGAGAAAAGACAGTAATTCACATCTTGTTAGCAACTTTTTACACCAGAAAACATCTATAAATAAGCACCTATCTGTCAATCATGTTTAAATGGCTTCTATGTTCAAGTTTATTCAGCCTTTTCAATTAACAGGTTCCTGGGGGAGACAGACACTGCGTGTAACAGACACAGTGTGTACTCCAAATTGATGATGAATCGCATTGGGGCAGAACTACAGTATAACAGTTATCTTTTTCGCAATAATTTGTTTTCTGATCTGAGTGCAGATGAATTTGTGGCCAAAACAGCAATCCAACTGTAATGGTTAGATCTGCAAATAAGCGGGATCAGTTGCATGGTTGGGTCTAAAAGTGGAAAGTAGCTTACGAAACGTAGCCCATGCACCAAAAAACAAATTTATAGCATCCTCGGAATCAAGGACGAATCTCAAAAAGTTAAAAAAGTCTCCATTCTATGTAAGGAATACAATTTTAAGTTAGCAGCAACACAACTACCTGTTGACTGACTGCTTATTAAATTCGACAAGCCCGCTCCTGCTTGGTATTGACAATAACTCAGGAAAAGTAGTCAAGCAGTCTTAAAGCAACGTTGAGGACGTAAACACGTGCTTTTTTTGAGTTTGTGGACCTGAAAGTATATGTTCAAAAAAAATCTTACACAAGAAATTGGTCTGGCCGTCACACCAAATTAGGCCCTACGACTTCCTTGCGAGGATGAACAAAAGAGCGAAAAGCCAGATGGAACGATTTTTTTTTTCGCGTTCAAGCACGTGTTGCAAATTAATGATGGAGTTTATTGTTCGCTGAACTCTCCTTTCAAGTCGGAGCAACCCTGATTTCTGATCAACACTCATCTCTTTTTACTTTCAAGAATTTTACAATCGGAAATTCGCTTGTGCTGCTGTGTTCAACGACTCGGTCGAGTAAATGGACGCGTGAAAGGACACGGCACTAGTATGAATGCATCTCTTTGTGATTTCAGTGCTTTGAAATGAGTGCCTAAATTGGTTTTTTATGAAAAGAAACCGCTTGTGTGGTATATCATTTTTTTTTTCTGTGAAAGACAAAGCGTTCACTTTGCTAAATAATTTATGCGGTTTTGCTTTGACAAATGAGCTAATTTTCAATCAAGGTAAACCCCAAACGCAACCTTCCAATGTCAACTGTATGAATATTGGCACCCTTTATTTACAATCTGTCGCGACACATTTAGCAGGTATCTTGGCAGAACGTCGTGATACAAGGCCAATATTCGGCCAGAATATAGCCTTTTTCTGGAAACTCCTAGAAGCTTTGTTCAATTTGTCTGTTGGTTTCACGTTGCAACCTGCCTACTTAGATGTAGGGGCCCTCAAAACATGGAACGTAAACTGAATTAATGTTCTAGGATCTATTCTTGGTCTGTCTTTCCTGAAATCTCGCATCGTTTTTGAACCTCAAAAGGTGATCATGTAAAAGTAGGAAGGGAAACAAGTTTTCTCCTGCAAGCCTAATGATAGGCGGGGCTGCAAAGCCCTAGAACTTAACATCAGCTTTCAGGCGACAACAGACTGACTGTAAATTTTTTAAAACAGCTGAAAATTAGCGTAAAGATCTTCAGCTTCTAATAAAGAGAATTTTGGATCTTACTTTGAAAGACCGATTTACGAATTTTTCAAGGGATAAGCCGCCCAAAGAGAAATTTTATGGAAAGTTGTTCTGGGTCATCATAACAGAATTATACTGCGTTGGCCACCAAACGGAAGCAAGACACCGGCGGGATGAAAGAGCACCGATTTTTTTATTATAATTGTTCTTTGTTTTTGTTCCATTCGTTCCGGTTAAGTCGAGAGCCATCATTGAATTTTGCAAGATATCAGGAATGTGGCTGAGTACTTCAATCGAGGATGGTGAAAACGGTTCCGTCACAACGTATCGACGTAATCCAAACCTTCGATTGACTTTTTTCTACGTACTAACTCCGTTTTCTAGCTTGAACACAGTTGTCATTACTGATATCACCATAAAAGGCCGTCTGTTACTAGTATAACACTGTATCATCTACATGTAGCTAATTTGGGTAGGCCAATTTTGCAATTAAGTTAGGGTTATGAAAAGTTTCTCCTTTAAAACCACCGCTTAATTTCCCTATCTGCTAACTCCATGGTTTTGTTTTTAATGTTATTTATAACCTTTAACATTTTTTCAGGTCCCTACGTAATGGAACATCCACTTACACTACAGTAAAATACAAGAGGATAAACAAACAAAGGCTTTATTTCTGCCGTTTTGTTTTTACTTTTGGTACGGGTGCATTGGGGTTTTCTCCTTTATAAAACTCTTTTAATAAGTGGACTGCCGTGTTGGCTAAAATGAAGGGAACACATTCAAATGGCTTTCCAATCTTGCTTGATGGGACTCTACAAATGCACTCATGTGGCTTTTCTGACTCATCATAACCGACTTGAAGTGAGTTTTCTTTTTGGATATCGTTCACATGATTTATGGGATAAGAAAGCCTCTCTTCAGCAAAGTCAGGTGTAACATTAGTATTTTTCTTGCACGAGGCCTGGTCCATTAATTTCTCATTACCTCCGGCATTGGAAAATCTTTGAAGAGATTCCGCATTACATTTACTACATTGTGCCGTTTCCCCTCTTGGTGAAATGTCTTCTTGTACAAAATTTTGACATATATCCTTGGAATAATCATCGGTGTGGATGTTCAGGATTGAACCACATCCACCAAATCGTTCATTAGCACATCCAAATACTACTCTTGGAATTCCCACAAATCTCAGTGCTGCTGCGCACATAATACAGGGTTCAACAGTCACGTAAAGACAGCAGTCGTGCAACACATCTTCAAAACTAAGACATTTTGACATACACCATGTCTTTACTTGATCAATGGCCACTAATTCTGCGTGTCTTGTGGCATTCTTTGTTTCATTGACTTGGTTTCTTCCTGTACCAATAACTTGGTTCTGATACACTATCACACAGCCCACAGGTACTTCTCCTTGTTCAAGAGCATCTCTGGCCTTTACGAAAAATTCAGTAAAGACCCACTTATCATCTACAGTCTCTCAGCTGTGGGGGGGGGGGGTTACTCGTCATAATGCCCTATAAGGGGAAACTCCACCCTACCTTTTCCAGGGTTCAGGTATATGAAAGTGTAGGGATTTCACTAGTTGAAGTATATGAAAGGGTTGCGAAATCTGTCATTTCAGGCTGTAATGACTTAAAAGGGCTACAAAAGGATTTTATGGCTAAAAAAAAGTCCAAAAAATGTCTAGTTTGTGATTTATTCATATTTAAAGGAAAGTGCATTTACAGCAGTTGAAAGGGATGTAATGTTCTGAACAAGGTATGTGAAATGGGTACCGTCTTGTCAAAGAGAGGTATATAAAAGGGGTGCCTTTTCTGTCAAAAAAGGCACAGTCCAACCTCCACTAAAGGCCACCTCTCCACAACGGCCATTTTTTTTGGTAAAAAATCCATACATTCACTATTGTTTAAACCTCTCACAACAGCCACCTCTCTATAATGGCCACTTTCTTCTGTCCCCAACGTGGCCATTGTAGAGAGGTTCAACTATATAAAAAATGGTATAGGTTTGGATCTCAGGGTGGGACCCCCCTGTATTTGTTGAGTACCCCCCTGGATATCAGTATAGGGGAGGGCAAGCAAGTGGCATTTTCCTTTCATTTGTGTTAATAGACAACAAATTAGAGATAAAATTGAATATGCCATTTCCGAGTTCCAATGACTCCAACTTTCAAAATGAGGCTTAATGCAAAACCTTTTTGGAGAAAATGATTTTAATTTGCATGAGAACAGAAAATAATTTTTGTATCAATGGCTTTGCACTCAGCCTCACTTTGAAACAGGGGCTTGGGGCAACTCAGAAACACAGGGAACCCACACAACAGACTGAGAGCTCTTTCTTGATTCTATGGATGGTGTTGCATGGCCATTCTTAGTTGGTGGAGTGATTTGTCTGGTTAATTCTGTTAACGAACGAGGAGGGTTGTAATGATTAAATTTAAAGGAAATGTACGGAAATATCAAAAAGGTTCATATTGTCATAACATAATGCGATGAATTTTTATATATTATTATAAGATCAAAATAAACGCCCTTTTATCTGAAATGTTGTGTATTGCCATTCTTGCAGCTGGAAATAATTTGAAGCGCTTTGCATTCGATGTTTACCCAAGCATATAGTAGAGAGACAAGGGAGGAAAACTCGGCGACCCCTAGTGCTAGACCGGTCCAGCTCTGAGCTGATTTTCACTGACAAATTCCCATCCCACAGCTTCCAAACCACACACCAGGCAAACTGAAAGCCTGAGGATTCTTCTTGTGCCACTACATTTGAAATCTGTCCAAAGCTTGAAGTGTCAGGGCTCAAATAATTTAGAGTAATCCAGCAACTGAAGCTCGATTGAGCTGTTCCTAGATTTTCGGGTGCCAGCCTGTAACAGTCACACCACTTGCTCCTTTCTGATATTTGGATGACAACAAACAATACCCTTTCATAAATGCATCCCACAGGAGGGAAGCAGGGCCAAATAAACAGTGGAAACATCCACAATACAGAAAGTCTCTATTAAAGATGGTAGGTTTGTAAACGTGTAAAGTGGACGTTGATCGATCGAGAGTGTTAACCATAACTCTAAGAAGCTAAACTTACTTGATGTGATTGTTCGTTGACTGGAAAGTACACCGCTGTTCATTTTACTCTGCTTCCCTCCCATGGGATGCATCTTGTATATGAAAATTCATCGCATTATGTTACGATAATATGAACGTTCTCGATATTCCCATACTGATACATTTCCTCTAAATTTAAACATTACAACCGTCACAAAGTTTGAGTGGGTGCCCTGTGCTCGGAAATGGCCTATTATTGTTTAGGCAAGACATTTAACTAAGAACTCCTCAAAGCTCATTTTTGAGAAAAAAAATGCCGAGACTCAAAGCTCGGATTTTCATTAATAGAGCAATTTATAGCGAATAAGAAGAAAAAAACAACATTTAGAAATCACTAAGGGATCACAAACAGGAAGAAATACGAGTTTTCAAAACCCATCCAAGTCCTAACGAAACTGTCAGGGCTTAACTGGAGTGGCACATCAAGTCTCGCGAGGGTTTGCGAAACACTTAGTTTTAGTAAATTGGAACAAAGATTATTGTTTCCTACCAATCCTATAGCTTCTTTCATCCACGTTTCGTCGGCTTCGTCCGCCATCTTGTTTTTCATCTTCTGTCCCAGTACCTCTCTGTTTGAGAAAGAGAGCTGAGTAGCCTGGCCTTGCTTCTCGAAACTCGCGCGACTTCTGTCTTGTGGATGTAGTTCCTTTTTGTTTGACGGCACGCTGTTCCTTTATTTCTGGGAAAGATAAACTTAGAATATTGTACCACGACTCCTCCATAAATCTTTTAGGGATTTAACCGCTCAACTGCAATGGCAACTGAAGAGGTTGGTTCTTGTGTTGAGTAGATTTAATACGAAATCTGTAAATCAGCTGATTTTGGTTTTTAATAGACTACCAAGTGAAAGTTAGATACAAAGAGAGTTAAAGCTAATGAAGTACTATCCAGGAGTTTAATACGCTAACAGTGTTTTTGCTAGAAACAGTACAGAACCCTTTTTCCATGACTGTATTTATTGTAACGATTTTATTTATAAGGTGTAAGAGATTCCTACTAACTATATATTATGCCTAAACTAGTAAATTTAGTGATCCAGAGAACTGCAAGAGGTTTAAATAGCAATCACACACAGTTTAATTAACCGGAACTTGCCCTAGGAAGATCCACACTTCTGGCTAGGAGCAGTGTAGGTGGGTCTGGCAGGGGGAGGGTGGGGGTTGGAGCCATGCGCTGCAGGGAGAATGGTTGATTTCCTCTGTTACACCTGCTATCCATTACTTTAGGAAGATAAATGAGCCTGTGCTTATTGCATACCCAACCGTGTACGACCCCACCATGGTTTCACTATGTCTTGAAGTGGTGGTAGTCTGTTGTTAATATAATTTTGTGGCTGATACATATTGTTTTGAGAAACCTCTCCCCTCCACTTCTGGTATAAATAAACCAATAATTATTGACTTATTATTGGCCTTTTACTCCCTGAAGTGTACTCAACTCAGTCCTATTACCTTTATTATTCTTCAATCTGAATGCCCACAGTTGAAATGCTTACAGCAATTAGTTCTTTATGGCTGTAGAATTTGCTTTTGATCCAAGTGGTCCTCAACCTCATTTGTTTAAGAAGTATAATGTAACTTACAGTAATTTATCAGGGTACAAAGAAAATAATTTTTACTGCTTGCCTTTCGGGCAAGCTGAAGCTAGCATTTACTAGCCCATTCATCTTTTCAACTAGCCCCCAGAAGCTTTTTGATGAGCAGAATTGATTTCACAGTTCTTCTATTATTCGAATTCTTCAAAAAACATAACTTGCCCGTCGGGAAAGTTAAAAACAGGATTCACTAGCCCGGTAGCAAAACCCACTAGCCCCGGGCTATTGGAGACTACTTTCTTTGCACGCTGTTTATTACATGACTGGCTCCACAAGCAGACAAGTTGAAGCAAGTTTAGTATTCCGATTGGCTACGCAAGCAGAAAAATAGGCATATCTTGCCTGTGTTTCCACAAAAAAGAAGTTGGCCAAGATCCTTTGATTATTATCATAAACAAATGAATATGTTTAATACAATATTTTAATTTGATACAGGGAAACAAGCTTTGGGGTGGACGATTTTCTGGTAAAGTCGATCCAGAGATGGAAAAGTTTAATGCATCCATTGGTTTTGATAAAAGAATGTGGAAGGAAGACATAACGGTATCTGTTGTAGATATTGTTAAAAGCTTTATCCTGAGTCTTGAATGGTCAATGATCACAAAAATTTTGTCAATAGCAAATTGCTTAAAATTATGATTGGTTCTTAACAGCCAATAATTATTGTTTTATATTTGATATTTTAATTTTAACTTCAAAACTGTCCAACTTGACCTGTCTGATTACTAGGAGCTTGTTATCACAGAGGTCAAATTGGACAGTTAAAAGCCTTAGAAAAAAAGGAGGGAGAAGTGTTATTAGTATATACTAAAACAGCGGATAGTGTTTTTCATGCGCCCTTGAAAATTGAAAAATTGTGGGGTATCCTTGAAAAGTCCTTTTAATTTTCCAAGGAAGTCCTTGAATGTTTTTTAAAGTTCTTTGAATAAAAATAACCTTGGTTAAAAAAGAGTGCCTTGCACAAAGGAAACATTGAAAGCACAGCAGGATGCAAATTTTCTTGGTGATCATGAAAGTGTGTTTTCTTATGATTTCAATGTTCCTGGCATAGTTCATTTTCCGTTTTTTAAAGTACCCTAGGAACCGTGCCTTCCTGGGGGAGAGTATTGCAATAAGCAAACCTATGAATTTGAAAGGTCTTTACTTCACAGGGAAAAGAAGTCCTTGAAAAGTCCTTGATCTTTTCCCCCAAAATTTTGTATGAACCATGACTCTGTTAAAAGGCCCTGTTCAGTATTGTAAGTTGTATTTGATTAATCTGTGACATATAATTGTACAAAGTGTATTTATTCAAAATAATTAGTGAATGTTTCTTGTAAAAGGGAAGTGAGGCATATGTCAAGGCAATACAAAAGGTTGGTTTAGTCACCAGTGAAGAAATGACAGAAATCTTGCGTGGATTACAACAGGTCAGTTTGTACATTGTATTCTTTTTCAACTCCATCTGCATTTAAGGTGTACATTACACATGTAATTCTCTAACAAAATAATACACTGCACAGTCTGGTTGGACAAATTATATGTATGGTTGTTGCAACAATAATGAGGCAATCTTGGAGGGTACAGGATCTGGTGGGATGACTCAGGCCTTTCACCTTAATTAAGGAGCTATACACTGGCTGTTAATTTGACTGTTTTTGCAGAAAATATTCTGTTTATTTCATGCTAATCTCATGAACATTTTTGGGTATTAGAGTTGTCTCAGCGGGACGGGGTAGGGGGGGGGGTGGTATGGCCTATAATGGCCTATACTGGGAGGCTCCACCTGAAAAGGGTACCTTTTTTTTTTTTTAGGCTTCAGGTAAATGAAAAGGTCTACTAGGGATTTTACCAGTTGAAGTGTATGTGAGGGGTGGGAATTAAGACTGCTTTTACAGCAGTTGAAAGGGATGAAACATCCTAATCTAGGTACGTGAAAGGGGTACCATTTGGCAAAAAAACCTCTTTTGTTATTCGTAGGTTAAAGAAGAGTGGGCAAGTGGTAATTTTGTTCTTCAACCATCAGATGAAGATATTCATACAGCAAATGAGAGGAGATTAAAGGTACTCTTAGTCCATTAATTAAATCCACTAGAAGGTTGTTGGTTCCATTATTATGGAGACTTTGTAATGATGAAGTTTCTGTTTTTGAGTTTGGCTGATTTCTTTCATGTGACAATTTAAATGATTTGACTTATTTGATAGCAAAACATTTGTACTTTCACATGGTTTTGTATGTTTTTTTTTTCTTACTGTTGTACTTTGTCAAACTGAAATTTTAGATTTATTTGAAGGTAACTTATAAATGGCCTGCCCTTCCCAAAAAACCTCCTTTACATTGTACTGTATATAGCACCTGTGTTATAAAGTAAACGAAAATCTTTTTAAGGCTTTTCCTTCTGGCAAGCTCAGTTGGATTAGTGCTGGTCTGTTGAGTGGGAAGTTGCGGATTCAAACGCCAACTGAACCGCTACCCAGGGCCTTTAAATAACACTAGCAGTGATTTAGGATCTTGTCTCATAGATGGTTACATCATTGGGTGGTGATGTTAAGCCATTGGCCTTGTCTCCTTCATCCTTCTTTCATTAGTCAATTGGAAAGGTACTGAAAAGAACCAACTTTGCTGTTTGAAAAGAGTAGGGGACATTTTCCCAATGGTGTGGTGTACCTCATTACACATGTCATTCATATCATGGGCTGGCTTGGTTGCTTTTGGGGTCATAAATGGACTGATAGCAGCTGCCAGTTGCCTTTTTGTATGTTGACGACTGAACTTACTGTTAACATGTTGATGTATAATGTACATGTACGAGGGCACATGAGTTGTCCTCTAATCTATGAAATTCAAATGATAAGCCTTTTGCTTTTGATAAGATGCTATTAATTCAAGCTTTCTTTGACGAGTCTAGTACATCTGTGGTTCAAAAATTCATGATTTAAATTTTTGTGCACAGGAAATTGTAGGAAATGTTGGTGGTAAACTTCATACTGGAAGGAGTAGAAATGATCAGGTATTTAGCTAGCTGAATTTGCAAACCATTTAGAATATTAGGACTGTTTGCTTCACGTGTGTGTCTCTTGAGTGGTGAGATGTGTGACTGTTGTGATTCGCTAAAGTTAAATTGCGTTGCCGACCTAGTCTTCCACAGATATCTACCCTGTATACAAATCATAAGAGATGACTGTGGGAAGAGTCAGAGGCAAACATGCAAATGAATCAATTAGATCACGAGGTAACAACGTGTTTCCCTTGCCAAGCGTGTGCCCTTGAGAGAGCTTGCTTGCAGGCAAAGCACGGGTAACCTCGCCAAGCATGGGAAATTTACCTTAATCAAGTCAAGTGTAGGAAAACGTGCCTTGGCCAAGCGTAGGGAAACTTATCTTAACCACTCCCGTGTCAAAAACACAGTGCCAAGCCCAGAAAAATGTGCCATAACCACAAATGCCACATATTAAAATGGCCCAAATTTTTTTCGAGAAATTCTCAAAATATTATTTTTAAATATCTCATAAAGTTTTCCAAGCTTAATGAAAACCCCCCAAAATTTGAAGTTATCTCCACATTTTCCAATTTTCCTCGAAACTTTTAAATATCCCAAAGATATCCTGATATTTGTTGTGGTCAGGCCTGGTATAAAAATCTCCAGTGCTAGCAATCTGAAATCTTAATTTTTGCACGTAATCTTTTATTTATTTTTTTGTTTACTTTTCCCAGGCGCAAGTAGATGCAAGGTAAGTTGAGCTTTTGTGACGCATATTTGCTCGATCATGTTGAGCATTAATGGACTTCCGTCTAAAAAAAGACACCAAGCATTGATCTAGTTGAAAGAAGAAAAATATATTTACCTGTCGTAAAGGGAAGTGTGTCTTGTTAATTGTCCAGTCAAGTAGATGCGCCGGCGCAGTGCGAAGCACTAATAAATTGTACGGGTGTAAGTTCGTTTTGAGGGGGGAGGGTAGAGGGCTTGCTTAGGTTTGAAAAAGCAAAAGAGCAAATAAATAACAATATTGTAAAGAATCTACGTTTCAAAATGCTTAGTTTGATCTTATGTAAGCATTAGACGACTTATGGACAAGTAACGACATCCTACCCCAGCTTTGTCTACATGCGTACAATTTTAAGCGGTTTCACCAACTTTAAATTGAGCGTTTTGGTGGCGCTTTTCACACTAAACAACTACGCGATACGGTCAGCAAATTACGCATGCGCACAGCCATACCATCCCCACAGTAGGACCCATGGACAAGTGCCGTTTTTCCGTGTTAGGGTTCAGAAACTTGGGGTATCCTCAGAAAAAAAGGGTTTCAGTTACGATTACTGTCACGAAGCGAGTGCAAAGTCGCCCCTTAACCAGTTTGAACTTTTCAGCATCTTCTCCCCTGCTTCTTCCAGCTTCTCTGACGACTATTTTTATTATCGCAGGTTATGGCTGAAGAATGAAATTACAATTCTTCATTCGCTGGTGATGGAGTTGATCAAGACCTTTATCACAAGAGCCAAAGTGTGAGTATAGCATTTAAAAGCTAGGGATTCCACAATATACTAGGAAGGCAGCGCGCCGGCGGTTTCCGATCAGTAGCTGTGTTTGTTACCGGTAGTCACGAGTTAAAATCCTTAGGCATACTTGCCGGCGCCGGTTCTCCTCGCCCTTAAATCGGGAGCTTGAGTAACAAAGAAGGCGTCGACTACGAAAATGTCACTTAAAGGGTGAATTCGTGCGGCTGAAAACTTTATGATCGCGCTTATTCCATCTTTTTAATCTTTATTTTTATTCTTTAATTGAAATAATTGCCTCTAGCAAGCTAATATGGCAATGGACGGTCAGTGCACGGAAGCTCATGACATTGACAGCGAGATAAATAAACAAAATGAAAACAAATAACTAAATAAATACAAACGAAATTACAAGTCATATGAAAAAATAAATAAATAAATAAAATTAAAATCGTCAAAGCATAAAATTATTACAAATACTTGTATGGAACACAGCAACGGAATCAGCACGTACGGAAACAGGAGACAAAGCGTTCCAAGCGGGAAGAGGCCATCACCTTCGATTCGTCAAATGTTGGCAGATTTTTCTGGAGCTGAATTATAAAAAGCTATGTCGAAGTTCAGGAAAAGAAAAAGAAAGTCGTCGTCGTGTGTTCACGTCCTCCAGAAGACGTGAAACTAAGCATTTTCACGTCGTAGTCGTGCAGTGAACTGAGTGAAGGCAAAGAAAATCGTGAAGCACGTGCAAAGTTGTTGTTTTGCCAATCTAAACCTTTTGCTTTTTGCCCTTCTCGTTGACGTCACCGTCGTTGCTTAAGCTCCCTACGAACCGGCGCCTGCTACGCAGGCTACCTCCTCTACGAAGCCGTTTTTGACTCGTCACGCAACGCTTCTCCCCAACAAGTAGCCAGCGTAGCAAGCGTTTCCGTGTGGTTTTGGAGAAAAGAAAGACCGAAGAACGCGGTCTGACTCTCGTTCCTTGTTAATTGCTCCGAAACCGCAAGGAAACGCTTGCTACGCAGGCTACCCATCAAGGAGACAACTCGACACCACACGTGATACGATAGAATGCAAGCAAGGGCCCATGGCTTCTAATACAAGTTATGATTGGACGGCATCTGAAAGGATAATTTGGCGCGAAACAGTTTCAGAAAATGGAACAGTAGCTATGATTGGTTCAAATAGGGAAATGAATGTGGTTCGAATGTTTATAGCAGCCGCTTGTTGGGGAGAAGCGTGTGTTGCGTGACGAGACAAAATGGCAGCGAGGGAGACTAGCTACCTCTTGCCAGTTGGGTTTTTTGACCCTGTTCTGTTACATTTGTTTCAAATTATTTGATAGCCTGAGAAAACATCCGACATTTCGCAACCCTACAACTTTCTTTTTGTGTGTGTTATTCTTAGAGAGATAGATGTCTTAATGCCGGGATACACCCATATGCAGGTACAGAAAGGATGTTGTTCTTTTTGTTTTTTCAAAAATTATATAACTTTCTTGCAACTACTTGATCGCATTTTTATGTGTGTTCTTTTCAGCGGGCTCAACCGATTAGGTGGAGTCATTGGTTATTAAGGTAAGTAGCATAACGCTTAAATTCTAGTCGTATTTATAATCAAATTAAAGTTCTCCAGAAGATCCCGTTGCCTGCGTAGCTGGCGAGATTGGTATGCGCGGGGTACTTTTTCTCGCGTCTCCGCCGCGAAAAAACAACTCTAATCCCCCGCTAATCCCGCCAGCTACACAGGCTAAGACAGCATGCAAAGAAAGTAGTGTCCGATAGCCCGGGACTAGTGGATTAATTGCTATTAGTTTGGCCCCAGTTGTTAGAAAGGTGGATAGCGTTATCCGATGGATAAATCTCTGTCCAGTGGATAACGCAATCGGTTTCCCAAATATACTTATCCGCTGGATAGTGATTTATCTGGCCCCGGTTGTTCAAACGTTGGATAGCGCTATCCAGCGGATAAATCACTATCCAGGTGATAACGCAATTGTTTCCTGTAATACGTATCCGCTGGATAGTGATTTATCCGGTGGATAGCGCTATCCAGCTTTTGAGCAACCGGGGCCTGGTGGATAGCGCTATGCAGCTTTTGAACAACCGGGGCCTGGTGGATAGCGCTATTCAGCTTTTGAACAACCGGGGCCTGGTGGATAGCGCTATGCAGCTTTTGAACAACCGGGGCCTGGTGGATAGCGCTATGCAGCTTTTGAACAACCGGGGCCTGGTGGATAGCGCTATGCAGCTTTTGAACAACCGGGGCCTGGTGGATAGCGCTATGCAGCTTTTGAACAACCGGGGCCTGGTGGATAGCGCTATGCAGCTTTTGAACAACCGGGGCCTGGTGGATAGCGCTATTCAGCTTTTGAACAACCGGGGCCTGGTGGATAGCGCTATCCAGCTTTTGAACAACCGGGGCCTGGTGGATAGCGCTATGCAGCTTTTGAACAACCGGGGCCTGGTGGATAGCGCTATGCAGCTTTTGAACAACCGGGGCCTGGTGGATAGCGCTATTCAGCTTTTGAACAACCGGGGCCTGGTGGATAGCGCTATGCAGTTTTTGAACAACCGGGGCCTGGTGGATAGCGCTATTCAGCTTTTGAACAACCGGGGCCTGGTGGATAGCGCTATGCAGCTTTTGAACAACCTCGGCCTGGTGGATAGCGCTATGCAGCTTTTGAACAACCTCGGCCTGGTGGATAGCGCTATCCAGCTTTTGAACAACCGGGGCCTGGTGAATAGCGCTATCCAGCTTTTGAACAACCTCGGCCTGGTGGATAGCGCTATCCAGCTTTTGAACAACCTCGGCCTGGTGGATAGCGCTATGCAGCTTTTGAACAACCGGGGCCTGGTGAATACTGTTCGTAACTTGCGCGACCGGCAAGTGAAGTTTTTTGGGGAATTCAGATTACAGAAGAACCGTAATCACTGCAATCAATGGTCTTCAAAAATGTTATTGCGGGCTAGTTCAAATGACTTTTCGGCAGCTTGCCCAAATGGCAAGCTGCAAAACTGATTTTCTTTGCACCCTGTAAGGCGTTCTGTATTGGCCATTTTTTGAACAACAGTGGCTTAATCTAGAATACAAAAGTGAAAGAGGAATACCAAGGGAAATGTCACATGCTGGAATCAGCTCTAAACCGTTTCACTGTTTCTCTCTCTAGCGAACCTCATCAGTATGTTCAAGCTGCATCTCTGTTCGGCGTCTCGCCCATTTTTTTTCTTTTTCGCAATGATCGGTAAATCGATGGATAAGCTGAGATAAATATACGTGCATATACTAATTTGCAGCCTAGTTAATACGTGCCATATATCTGTTATTGATGTTCCGAAATTTCTGACGCGTTTTAATGTAGCTATACCTGGGCACTAAAGAGAGACGCTGAAAGACTGAGGGAACTATCAAAAAGAGTCGACGTTAATCCTTTGGGAAGGTAAGGAGGTTGCCGTGGAGAGTATGACCTTAACGCTAAGTTTTTTCAAAACGTCTGCTACATGTATTATTAGGGACTTTAAGATCCAACGACGCGACGGCAACGAGAACGTCGCTTAAAAAGTGAATTTGCGTTCTTTCAGTCTTTATGGCAATTATTCGCACCCAGTTACTTTGTCAAATGTAGGCGAACCCTCCTGGAGTTGAATTCCTAAGGACCATATCCAGGTACAGAAAGAGAAACAAAATTTCGTCGTTGCTTGTTTACGTACTCCATAAAACTGAAACGTGAAGTTATATTAGGCATTTTCACGTTGTAGTCGTGCAAAAACGGGCAAAGAAATGTACAAAAAAGCGTGATGCACGTGCAAAGTTGTTGTTTTGCTTTCAGCTTATTAAACCTATTGTTTTTTTGACGTCCTCGTTTCCGTCCGCGTCGTTGGATCTTAAAGTACCTATTATTGGGCTCTAAGCTTCGTCCATGCAGCGCTTATCTGTAACATGAAACTTCCAGCCCCCTCCCTCCGTGCTAGTTCACTGTCCCTCTTCAATCGCTCAAGTGCACACCTCCGTCTCTCAGCCTGTCCGCACAGATTAGTGAATGAACCGAGAGGAACCTGGGGAGAGAAGGGAGGAAAAGGGACCTTCGGGACTCTCGCTACCTTGTAACTGAGCCAGGTTAACTCAGATTCAGTTCACGCACGTTTTTCAGAAAATCTCACAGTTAATGTAAATTAAAAGTTTTTACTGAATCATTTGCCTCCGACTTACTTTCAGTGGTGCCATTGCGGGAAATCCTTTTGGTATTGACCGACAGTTTCTTGCCAAAGGTAGGATCTAAAGTCTCTGTTGATCCGGTAACGCTAATATCTACAAATAGCTTAAATTTTTTTTGCGAGGCTGCGCCCATGACATTTCTTACATCTTGTCTGGCACTTTCTGGAAAGTTATGTTAAAGAAAATCGAGGGAAAAGTGTAATTTTTTCCCCGAGCTCACTTATGCCTTTACAGTTTTGGGCAAAGACTTTGGTCGGGATGGGAAGGAGATATTCCTTTCGAGTGGAGCCTCTATGTATAGGACTTTGTTGTAACGTTCTGTTCACGCAGTTAGTATTATGTTAACTTTTATCTTTGCACAGAGTTAGGTCTCTCAGGTGTTACGGGGAACAGTATGGACGCCGTCGGGGACAGAGACTACATCGTCGAGTTCCTCTTTTGGGCTTCTTTATTATCCACACATCTCAGGTTTGCTTTAATCCTTTCAATCCCGTCATTAAAACGCACAAATTTATTGCTTGTTTCTGCGCCTCTGGTAATTCGCCTTTTGTCAGTATAGAGTATCTGTTTTGCGGTACTTTTCAATTGTCACATTCACATTCTGCTTATTTTCAGCGAAGTTCAGCCACTGGAAACTTAACGAATTTCATTTCTGATCATTTCAACTGGCTAGAACGTAATGCTTTTAAAGTTGGCCCACAATGACTTGAACTTTGGTTTGCCTGTGGCTGAAAGATAATGATTATTTATTTATAATTATTTATTAACGTATTCACGTGACACCTAAGGGCGTAACCATGCTACCTTTTTACAATACGTACGTCCTTTCTCCTTGAAAGTGATGAAAGAACTGTGGTGCTTTTACATGAAAACAGCAATTGTCTTCTAAGATCTAGTTCTTCTTTTCTAAAAGTTTGTTACCCTCTTTTTTTTTAGTCGCTGGGCGGAAGATATGATTCTTTACTCTACAAAGGAGTTTGGTTTTATTTCTTTATCAGACGCTTATAGGTGAGAAATGGTCGCTTTACCAGGTAGAAATTTCTTGACGATAAACTGCATCATCTCTGTTAATATTTAACCTTCACTTGTTGCTGTCAAACTGCAAAGAGCCACATTTTGCTTTTCATTTCTCCGTTCGATCCAACCAATCGTTTGAGTATTTTAAAAACCGTTTTAGACAGAAAGACATTTTCGCTTATTTCAATTTCCTCGGGCTACAAACTGTACTTTTCGAATGAAATACCCATCCGGAAGACTAAAGTTGTCTACAAAGTATGGAGCTTACTTTTTGCATGGGCGTTAGCCCTGCGTCAGAGAAAATCTAGGTCTGGGGCCAGCTGCACGAGTCCAAATCAGAAGTAATTCAGAACTTTTTACATGTGGCTTTGAAATAAACAGTTTGACGGGAATGAACGTCGGGCGTTAACTGTTTGAATACTGGCGAAAGCCTAGAGCTCAAACATGGATTCTACAACAGTCAAGGTTTCAATAGACCTTTTCAAGGTATTTTTCAAGTTTTGATCGAGGTTAGTATACGAATATACATCCACATTGCTGAAAAGAATACTTTAAACGCTTTAAAGTAAACTGTCCAAGTTTCGAGGTGATTGTGGGCAAGAACACAACGTTTGTAACTTCGCGACTTTTTGTAGCCATATCTTTCGTAGCTTAATCATGTTTACATTACTGATTTTAAGGCGTTGTTTCGCTTTAAAAAAAAATAAAAATGTGCTTTATTTGTGTGTCTATGTATTTAGCACGAAAGTCCTAATTGGAACCGCCAGAGGCTCCACTCTTTGCCCTTTAACCCTCTGACTTCGGTCAAAATCAGTTTTTTTTTCTTTTTTCTTTTTACGTTGATATCTTAGCACAGGAAGCAGTCTCATGCCACAAAAGAAAAACGCTGACAGTTTGGAGCTCATTCGAGGCAAATCTGGAAGGATATTTGGTCGAGTAAGTGAAAGAAAAACAAACAAACGTAACCGCGGTTGCGGCTTGCCACTTGAAAACTTCTGAATCTGAATTCGAGAAGATTTTTCGTCATTTTCTCACCCGGCAACAAGCGTCTTATAATATTATCTCCATCTTTTTTTGCTTTCAGTGTGCGGGTATGCAGATGACGTTAAAGGTAAAACTATTCTTATATACTGTATTTTTCCTTCCTGATTAAATAGTTTCTTTTGTATAAGAGGTGCGAATAAGTCTCTGTGTTCCATACGTGAAAACCATAAAGGTGATGTTACACGGGGCGATTCGCAACGAGGATTTTTAGCGCAACACAGGGTTGTAATGCTGGAACAATGTTGTAACAATTCGAAACAATGTCGCAACAATGTTGCAACGCTGTGTTGGGATAAAAATCGTCGTTGCGAATCGTCTCTCCTCACATCATCTTAAGGCCGAGATTACAGTAAATTTTAACAGTAGTATATAAAGTTTTTTGTGCCTGGTAATTAGTGTCTTTACGCCTTGTGGATTTTTAATCATAAAAATCGCTGATCTGTTAATCATACATCCTGTTAGCCTGCGTGCAGACGATAACTAAACTCTGATTAGTACCGTCTGCGAAGCAGCGCAGAGATCCTTGTTCTGGACCGCCAACGGACTCAACGAATTACCGGAAGTGCGTTTCGAATTCCCCTTCAACCTGATTGGCGATCACGACAAACAAAACAAAGGCCTTTTTTAACTGGCCAATCGTGGCGCGTACTCAAATCTGGGAACACAGCTGGAAGTCCAGAACAAGGATTTCGGCGCTGTTTCGCAGACGGAGTTAACCAGAGTTTAATTTCGTCTGCGCGCAGGCTAACATCCTGTGTATGAGGTAAAAGTAATATAACTTTGACTTAAAAGTCTCACTCTCTTCACTCGTTTTTGCTCCAATTGTATTACTTGCCCCAATCCATCGTACTCACCTTAATTTCATTCCCAACGAACAGGTGCTCTAGCTCTATGTTGACTTCTGTATTTGAAAGTGTTGTCAAGGAGGAGCTTTTCTAAATAACAAATTGATATACTTTTTAATTTTTTAAAGGGTATACCCAGTACATACAACAAAGACCTGCAGGTTAGGTTAATATTTCTTTTTGCTGTTTTTTCACTCCGTTTGGGACAATGTTTTTCGGCGGCTCATTTCAGCCGAAGCGGGGATACTGATAGTAACCATAGAAGTAACTAAATAAGGGCGTAGTCAGTGGACCGGTTATGAAAGGCGGCAAACATCAAAGATAAAAACGACAACACCAACAGTGCTTCAGTTTATGTTGGAAGCTCATTGACAGTGCACAATCCTTTCTTTTTGTTCACAAATCGTGACTGAGTAAATTATTGCGTCGTTCTTATTGGTCAGGCCCCAGTTGTTCAAACGTTGGATAGCTCTATCCACCGGATAAATCACTATCCAGCGGATAAGTATTAGGGAAACCAATTACGCTATCCGCTGGATAGTGATTTATCCGGTGGATAGCGCTATCCAACGTTTGAACAACTGGGGTCAGGAGGATAAAAAAGTATTGGAATGCTATTGATCTTTGTGGACCTTCAGGTTCGCAAAAACATATAACAAAGGAGTCTGACGGGTCTCATAACCATTCCACCCTATTGACCGTGACAAGGGTGATATCTTTTAAATGAAGGGGACTAGTTCGGATTTCGTGGAGGCTTTTTCAGTTTAGGAAAGGAATAGTCAAGAAATGTTGGCCATCTCTTTGTTCATAAAATCAGAGTCAGTACTATAGCTCTTTACACAAAAGCTCAAAACCTGAACAATTTAAATATTCTGTAAAAAAAATGTCTGACTTGCCATGTTTCGTATTTGTCACCATTTTGAAAAACGCGGCCTTATTTGCAAACCGCGGGCAGTCTGCCTGAGACACGGGGGAGGGGCGGGACGGGGTGCGGTACATGGTTGAAGGCACAAGTTTTCTAATGTTGTCCATCAAAGAACAAGGCTTAAACAGTGTAAGATCAAGAGGACTTTGTAATTCCCATAAATTGCTAAGAATTTTAATTAAGTTGCCCCCAAAATCAAAAGTTGCTCCAAATGGCAAAGGTTTCCAGAAAGTTGCTCCAAATAGCAAAAGTTGCCGAGCAACTTGTGGCTTAGGCTACACTTGACTTATGATGTCAAAGGCGCATGACAGGACGTACATAGCCGAGTTGGAGCTCATAGCTGCTGTTTCTGTTAATATTGTCCATGTTAGAAAAACCTTAGAGACACTACAGAAACCATCAAGTAACAGAGGTTGTAGGGGGTGTTAGAGATATATTGAAGTGGGTCAGAAACAACGTTTTTTTGAGGTTGAGGCGGGTTGTTAGTTACTTCTCAACGTTTCGCGTTGACTTAATGACTTAAATTATGTCACTAAACTTCATTTCTCGGTATCGGAGTATGAAAGGTCTCAGGTAGCAAAATGAACGTAGACTTGAGTATTTTTACCATTTATAGGAAGATAAAGAACCTCTTTTTGATGTTTGTGACACGCTGCGAGGCTTACTAAAGGTGGCTACAGGAACATTAAGTACTTTAAAGGTTAGTTTGAGCTTTCTCGTTTACCGTATCAATCGTTGACGCCCTGATAAGTGATGAGCATTCAGCTTTTTTTTTTTCGCAAAAGCGATACTTAAACAGTTAGGGAGTTCTTAGGAATTGGGCGTAGAACTAATCAAGATTGATTAAAGATGGATTAATTATCTTGTTGTTAACAGTTTAACCCCACCATTGCCTTAATAAGTTTATAGAGACCACTAAGAAGAATAGGTCATTTCCAAGTAAACCCAAGCTTCTGTTTTAAAGCGAGAATAAGAGTGAAGCGTGCGAAGCCGTTGATATGAAAATGATTTTTTATTCTCAAGCCTCGTTTTGAAACTGAGGATCGAACTCGTAATTGGCCTCTTAGTAGTCTAGTCTGTAATTTGGGGATTAAAGTGTAAAGGATTCTGTCATTTCCTGATATTTTAAAAGCAATTTTGTTTCTTTTATTTGGAGCCTGTCTCATAAAAATGAACTTATCTTTCTAATTTACCCTTTTTTGTGAGGGAGGGAGGTTAGGGTTAGGGTCCCAGTAAGTCATCCTGGTGAGCTAAATCATGCCATACTGCTCTTACATACGATTCATCACTAATTATTTGTCCTTTTGATCAGATTCATAAGGAAAACATGTTAGCTGCTCTGAGTCCGGACATGTTAGCTACCGACCTCGCCTACTATCTTGCTCGAAAAGGGGTACGTATATATTTTAGAGGGATACTCCGGTTTACCCCAACCTTCGAGTGGCAAAATTGAATTGTCTCTCTAAGGACAGAGTTTCTGTTTTATTAATTGTTGTGAAACCAATAGATAAGAGAATTGATGAGGTGACAAAAAATTAAATTTATGAATTTACGAGCCAGGTTTGTATATCCAGAAAAAAAAAACAAGATTAAGGATGTCCACTTGCTAAAAATGTATCTGTTGGTGCAAAATTGTTGGGAGATATAAGCAATGTTATGCTCTGCATCCGTTGATACAACAAAATGGACTGGTTTGTTAGCTAGGACGTGCGCTTTTATTTTCTATATTTTGATTGAATATTTGATTACGGGCCCAAAAAGTTACCAGGGCTTTCGAGAAACGGTCCCCTCGATCGTAAACGTCACAATCCAAGCCAATTTCAGAAGGATTTGCATGGAGTCATCAGAACATAACGGTGCTTCTATCTCCTCACTCATTTTTCCCCAGGCTGATTTTTGGCAAAGGGGTCTTATTTCACCTTGTTCTTTTTGAATATGCCAACCAATCCCATAATGCAACTGGCGGCAAGCGCTGGAAAATAAGTTGCACTGCGCCAGCAAAACGCAGCTGTCTACTGATTGCTTGTGACAATACAAAAACACTAGCGTAGAAAATTGAAAACCCAGTTACTATAATGTTCTTACAGTTCTGTTAACTGTAATGTAGTACATCCCTTTAAGACGTTTGCAGTATTCTTGCAGGTTCCCTTTCGCGAAGCTCATAGTCTTTCAGGAGCTGCGGTTCATGCTGCTGAAAAGAAGAGCTGTCCTTTGAACGAACTAACTTTGGAGGACTTGAAGGAAGTCAGGTGTGTTTTGCGTATGAAGTAAATTCACGTGACTGAGAATGCACACATCATTGAAAGAATTCTGAAAAGAAAAAGGATCCTGTTTGTTAACTAGCCTACGAGTAAGCTCTCCAATTATGGCAGGCGAAGCGAGCCGCGACAGCACCCGCACGCGAGGGGTTCTCGCGTGATTTCTCGCGACTTCCTCAAATGGAGAGCTTACTTGCAGGCAAATTTGAATAACCCATTTATTTGAACATAGCATTGCATTATCCTTCCATAGATTTTATAGTTTAATTACTGCCTCTTATGTTACATGGTCCGGCTGAAATAAAAAAGTTTTGAATGGATAATCGAAATACATATCCATAAAATTAGAAAACCAACAGCTTAACTTCAGACACGTTTCATGGACCTGTAATGTATGTAGTTGTGCCAAACTCGCCTCATCAAAGCCTTTGCAATTACCCTGGAGTCCAAAACTGATTTAAACTTACCTAATATTAAAAGCATTTAGCCTGACCTAAACTTTGCATAGGGCTTGACAACTGAGCAAAAAAATCAAGCAGGAGCTAACTCAAATCGCAGCTGCTTGATTTTGTGCCTTACGACTTTTCAGTCAAGCGTTTTGTAAGGGTAAAGAGGACGCGCGCATTTACGCTCGTTCACGCAATCATATTTTGCCCGATTTCTTGAATCTTGCGAGGTATTTTCAATCAAGTACTAGCCTGCGTGGTTGGAAAAATAAGAGCGGGTTAGTTAGTGCTTTTTGGTGACGGGGCCGCCTCACAACAAAGGCACTGGGAAAAAAAACCGTCACGCGCAATGAATTCCGCCAGCTACTTCGGCTAATCAAGTGCCTGGTGTGAATTCCTTAGTGGAACAAGTTTAATAGGCTATTCATTCACGTGGCACGGAAACCTCTATGCTGGAGAGCAAGAAACGTAATGGGAGAAGACAAACAAAGCAGTTACCATTTTAAATGATGTGAGCTCTTTATTTTTATTGTTCCAGTCAGTGCGCCCCGTCCACTTACCACCTTAATGTGGTTTTTTCGTGATTGGACCAGGTCTTGCCATATTAGCGACCGTTAGCAACCACAGCGGCAACGGTAACGACGACGTGAAAAAAGCAATAGGTTTGTTAAGCGGAACAACAATTCTGCACGTGCAGCACACTTTTTGTTTGGGTTCGGTCTCTAAGAATTCAATTCCAGCGAAAGTTACTTGCATTTGACATTTTATAAGGGTTGAAATAAAAACTTTGAAAAAACGGGAAAACTTTTTCAAACTGACGTTTTCTCTGCCGTCTCCGTCGTTGTTGCTAAGGCTCCCTATTACTTACGCAACCGCTTATAAATGCGCCCTAGATCTCACTAGGGCGAACGCATAATATTAATGGGGATATTTTTAAGTAAAAATTCATTGTTAATGAATTTTTTTTTCCTTTATGTATAGCCCTCTGTTTGAGGAGGACGTCAGCGATGTGTGGGATTATGAACACAGTGTGGAACAGTACACAGCTGAAGGTGGAACTGCTAAGGATTCTGTTCAGAAACAGATAAACAAGCTGCAAGAGTGGTTAAACTATCACGGAGAATAGACCCTAGGCACAATGCTCAATTTTTGTCTCTTGGAGATTTTTATTTTTCAAAAGTAGGTTTTCGCTTTGACTAAAATGATTTATTTATCACAAAGAGAATTTTTTCTTGTAGTAAATGGGAAATAGTAATAATAATAATAATAATAATAATAATAAAGTCTTTATTCATCAAGAGATAAAAATACATATCTTTTGTTACAAGTAATAAGAAGAAATTTAAAAAGAAATTTAAAAAGTTAAAAAGTAAGAATTAAAAAATATATACCGGTATATATATCTAGTATATTACATAGCTAATTCATATTTAAAAACTAAACGATTAATAAAAGAGTTTTTGAAGAGCATAGTGTTAATCTTAGGTTTAAAACAAGTTTCTTTCCTAAGATTGTAGCTAGAGGATTTAACACGAACCCGGGTGAGTGAATCCGGATCGTGTGGACGGGCGCATTCGAGTTGAATACAGATACGTGTGGAGGTGGAAATTTTTGAATCCGCAAAGAAAAATTTGCGGATTAAAAAATATCAGAATACAGCCGGCGTTGTGCTGCCTCATCCTCGAGTCTACATCAAGCCGTGTGGAGGTGTTCTTACCAGACGTCGTCCGACGGCAGTGGTCCCTTTCGTAAACGGTTACTGACATTTTTAAAACACTTAGGGCCTGTTTACATGGAGGTGGGGGGCCCAGGTTGGTGAGGTAACCCGCTTTGGTGGGGTAACCCGCCTGTCCATGGAAATTCTCATTTTTGATTACGTTTACATGAAAGGTGGGGTGACCCGCCACATGTTGCCTCACCTATCTGGGGTCCCCCACCTTGATTTAAACAGGCCCTTAGAAAAGTTTGACCTGTTGTTGAGAGTGTTCCGCTTAAAAAGAAGGAAAATCCCGCGCAACCCAGGGTCGAATCCGGAACCTCGAACCCGAACCTGTCGTATCTTAACCTTTCTCCTTAGCCACTACACTACCACAATGACCCGCCACAGGAGCCCATCAAATTTGATGTGCTCCTGCCCGCCAAAATTCCAAAATTCCGAAAAATTTAAATGGAGACACTAGCAAACTGTCTTTCTTAACTGTTACATCAAGACATTTTTTTCCAAAAAATCTAATTCCAGGGTGAAAACTTGAAAAGCAAAACGAAGCCAATCAGGGTCTTAAAATAAGGTCTCTCGTCCAGGTGGTACACCTCCACCTACACTTTCCAAGTACTTGCTCTCCATCCATACGATGATTCTTAGCTAGAGGTCAGCGGCCTCACTAATGGTAATGGCAATGGTAGCTCTAAATTAGTTTCCCAATCCGAGTTGTTTCAACATTTCGGTGACAATGGCAGACCTTTGGTAACAATTCAGGACATAACGTGCTGGTCTACGTTGCACCATTTCCCTGGAGGGAGTGCCCCCTCCTCGCTAACAAAAATTCTTGATCTGACTCTGATATTTGTTCTCGTTGGTATCAGTCCAGCTACGGTTGTTGAAAAGTTGGATAGCGCTATCCAGGCAAGTACAAACCCCCCTCCTCTCAAAAAAATTCGAGGAGGGGTCTATACCCAGGCTATCCCGTCTGGGTGAAATTAAATATGGCGGACGCACTCAACGGACTAGCAGCTAAATACAGGAATTGCACCGACCTGTGATTGGAAGATAAAAATAGTATTTCAGTGACGATGACGTGACAATTCGTTACGTTAGCCGTTTCAAGAGTAATGGTTTTTACACGAAAAAGACAGTCCACAGGAAAATACAATATAATATTAAATATTTCTCAAAGACAAACAGTGCAGTATTCTTTTGAAGTCGGCTGACTCGCTAAGAGTCAATGTCTTATCGAAGTTGAAGTTCAACTGTCGCAAATCGGATAACTTCACTGAGTGATTCTGAGATGAAACCTTTTGTCTGCATCCACATTGATCTTAGATTTTACCACTTACATATTGAAGAAAAGCCATAAACAGAGCTTCAATGTCCACGTACACCCGACTGAACCTCGGTGCGATTCCTGCAGATACCGCTGTTCATACTAAATGCAGGAATTGCACCGGACGCGTTCTCGTCCCCAGAGTTTTTTTTTTTGAAACCGCGACAAGACATCGATCCCTTTTCAATATAGTCTTGCGACAAAGGTCTGTATTAAAAAAAATTAATACTGTTGTTGGAGGGCATGCAATGAATCATGCTAAAGTTTCTATTGGGAACACAAAATAGAGGTACCAGGGAATCACAGGGAACAACTGTGTAAGTGACATAACTTTTATTTAACTTTGTAGCTAGTGTGCCGGGGGGATTCCTATACAATAGTCACAGGGCGGCTCATTAGAAAATTTAGTGTACCAAAGACTTTCTTTGACCCCTCGAGGAGTCCACTTCAACACTGTTAGCAGTAAAGTATGTGCAGGGCTTTTGTAAATGGATATTTCTATATTTACTGACTTTCCACCCCCAATATAAACATACCAATTAAGTGAGATCAAATTCTGTGTATTTCTATGCCTTTACTGAGATGAGACAACTTGATAAGTTAGAAGACAAGCAATCCCTGTAACTTTTATACAGGAGTTTCTCCCTCAAAAAGGCTAGTGTAATTTATTTGGATTGTGTGGTTCCAGAAAATAAACATACCCACCAACCCCAAGGAAAATTCTGAAGGGAGGGGGTTTGAAAGGCCAAGATTTTTAAAGAAAAGTATGAAATTAACCTGGAATTTCCCGAATGGTGGGGGCATCCCAAGGAAAATACCATCCTTGGAGGGAGTATGGATATTTCCTGGAACAACGCATTTATTGTTTGTTATTAATAATTTAAAGGAAAAATAACACAGTTTGTTTATATAAGTGTATATGTTGTGGTTCAATTTGATCCTTGGTTTAAATTTTAGTTTCCTTCATTGTAAACTCATTATCATAGATTACCATACACAAAAACAAAGGAAAATATAAACCAAGGACAAAATTGAACCACAACATACATATATTAAGCTTATGTATAAACTAGCCAACGTATATATCTGTTACCTAGATAACATTTCGGCAATGATTTATATAATGCTAAGAAAGTCAGACATTCATGCTCACAGCTTGGGGCTATATTTCACAGCCGGCAAAAAGTTGATTATCCCTGGTAGTAGTTTTGCAAAACAAAAAGCAAATTTAAAACAAATAGAAGATTTCAAATGTACAGAAACCAAATTAAACAGTTTTTGAGTGCATGAAACAGTACATATGTGTGTAAATACTGTCAAGAAGGTCACTTAAAACCCATCGTGTGACACAGAGAGAAGCCACTTCATTTGGTGTCATGTCATAGTTTGGAATAATATAATCAAAAGGATTCAAGTATAGAATTTCCTGAAATTTCTTTATGGAACTTTCTGGAGGATACATTTGGACAGTCAGTGGTTTAATGTATGGTTCTGAAAACCAGTTTAATTCTGCTTGGACGGCCCTTTGTAGATCCCTTGCATAATGTACTTTTAACATATCTTTAACATCAGATATGCTAAAACATTGGGAGCCATGCTGCAGATAATAGTAACCCTTCTCTTCTTTCTGCCAGAAGCTTAGCTGCTTATCCCATGTTGTTAACAGACTAAACGGTGGTATTGTTTTCAATGAAAAGGGGTTTGTTGTAATTCTTGGAGAATCTGACACAACAACATCACCATCAGCATTTCGAGGGGATTTTGTGGGGAGTAAATTGAATTCAAAGGCCTCTCTCCTGGTATGGCTGGTACAGGGCAGAAGAGGTTACTTGCTTACTGCACTTTTGCCAGTCACCAGCCTGCATGGAATAGAGTTCAGATTCATTCAGATGAGTGTTTAGTCATTGACTGCCCTCAACTCCCTCCACCCCCAAAAAAAAAAAAAAAAAAAATGAATAAAAAATATAAATCAATGTAGAAATGTTATCCACAGGTACACAAAGTGTAAATACAAGAGCTAATTTCAGCAAACTCTTACAGGTGGACCGCCTTTTCCCTAAATTTGCGAGTGAACATGACATGTAACTCTATTAGCTTAAAACAAGCATTGACTCGTCTTTAGTTTCTCCACAGACTTTTTTCTGCGAAAACTCAACCCCACCCACCCACCCCCTATGGCAGGTCAAATGGTCCTCGCAGCTACGTGCTGAAACGCAATGATTATTCGGTTTGCTGAAAAGGGGATTTTTGTTTCTTCCAAAGGACATGATGGGATTTAACCAGGCTGTTTAGGTGACCATTATTTTTACATTGCTGAGGTATTTCAGATTCGATATACTCACCAAGGAGAGCATGTTACACTTGTAAAGTCAAGCAGTAAAAGAAAAAAAGGCAAAGAACAATCAGCCCGAGGTTTAGATGACCTTTAGTCAGGATCCTATAACCCCTGCTTCAGTATAATTTAACTTCGAATACAAGTGATGTGTTATTTCCAGTGGCCTAAGTCTTGTCCTATCAAGCGAAAATCAAAACGCGAGAAAATCAATTAAAGTTTCCCGCGGCTATTTAATTTATGCCAAGTTGCGCATTCGACCAATGAGCGTCCGGTGTATTCTCGTTCCCAGAGCCCCTCTTTCTTGGTCACGTGCTCTTTTGTTACAACTTAGAGTGACTCTGGGGACGAGAACGCGTCCGGTGCAATTCCTGCATTTAGTATGAACAGCGGTATCTGCAGGAATCGCACCGAGGTTCGGTGTACGTGGACCTTGAAGCTCTGTTTATGGCTTTTCTTCAATATGTAAGTGGTAAAATCTAAGATCAATGTGGGTGCAGACAAAAGGTTTCATCTCAGAATCACTCAGTGAAGTTATCCGATTTGCGACAGTTGAACTTCAACTTCGATAGGACATTGACTCTTAGCGAGCTAGTCAGCCGACTTCAAAAGAATACTGCACCGTTTGTCTTTGAGAAATATTTAATATTTTATTGTATTTTCCTGTGGACTGTCTTTTTCGTGTAAAAACCATTACTCTTGAAACGGCTAACGTAACGAATTGTCACGTCATCGCCACTGACATACTATTTTTATCTTCCAATCACAGGTCGGTGCAATTCCTGTATTTAGCTGCTAGTCTCAACGGCTGTGACAGCAGGGCAGCACAACAGCACAAGCATTTCCTGCATTCTACACCGTAAATCAAGAATAATGAGGCTTTCGACAATCTTTCGTGTAAAAAAGTTAGTATTTGGGGCTTTTCTAGTGTTCTTCGTGTTGAAATGGGCTGTTGTGCCGCTGTACAGCGCCATGAAAAGGTTTGTACATTGGGCTTTTGTGCGAAAGAATCAACTAAAGTTGTCTTCGGATATAAGCAATTTTTTAATCATTATTGTTGCTTTTTTTTTCAAACACACTCTGTCATAGTAACTTAGTAACTGTCTAGAAGTGATCTACGTGGCTGCCAGTAGCAAATTATTTGTCAGTATTTGACTTCTGGATCAAACGTAAGAAGAAAAAGCACTATTTTGATATTTGATTTTTATTATATTCTCTGTTATAATCTTCAGGAATATGTGCCAGTCTGTTCATAATGTTCTGTTTCTCAAAACCCACAAGACTGGCAGCAGCTCTGTAAGCAACATTTTCTTTAGATTTTCTAAAAGCAGAGGTTTGACAGTGGCTTTACCAAGGAAACAAATCTATTCCTTTTACTGGCCTTGGAGTTTTCAAGCTAACTTTGTGGATAATTTACCAGAGGAAAAGCCTAACATTCTCTGCAGTCATGCAAGGTAAAATTACTAAAACTCACATCACACGTATAAATTAACAAATAGACAACACTTTTCCATGGTCAGTATACTCTTATCAACAGTAAAATGTTTAAAACTCAAGTGAAGGGGAGTGATTTCACTGCAAGTGCACAAAAACAAAAAAACAAATTGCACCACCATCACATCATTTCCATGGTCTGTACTCTTATTGACCATAGCTTTTGACCAAACACTGTGAGAAATCAGCTCAGCAGTTATTGTAAAAATATATATGTCCCTTTGCTTTGTTAGAAATTGTTGTGGAAGACCTCATGTCCATTATGTTGGGAATGGGAGACCATGACAATCATTCGAGTTTCCAATGAAATATGAAACCATGATGACATCTCACAAGTGTGTAGATATAACATCATTATGTCATTTAGTATAACTCTTCCACAAAAGCCATTTCAGAGACACAGATACTGGTAGATGGCTGTTTTAGAGAGATTGCCTTGGCAGAGCCATTGACAAAACTGGTATTGGACTGGATTAAATCAGCCACTGTGACCCCATCCCTTACCTATTGTCTTTTAGTAAGTCACAGGGAAAGGTCCAATTTGAGATGTCTGCGTTAGAGAGGTGGCCATAAGATTATAGGTTTGAATTGTGTGTCCAGAACATTGTCTAGACCAAAATTTCCTTTGTTTTGTTTTTACAGCAGTTAATTACCACTAACATGCATCATCCTTGAATGTTTTTTTTTTCTCTGTTGAAACCTGAGTTTTCATGGACTTCAATCAATACCCTTTTCTGTGGTTTTCTCATGTGCTCTGACAGAGAGGGTTCCTTTGTCGCTGAATGAGGAAGACTTGCCAGAATAATTTAAATGACGATGGCATTTTTAATTTTATTTATTTCATTAAGATGAAGGATTACATTATTAAAACAATGAGGTCTCTTCGAGCTGAGGGAAATAGCTGAAATACTCTCTATAGTCAACCTGAAGGTTTTCAGGTTGTTTATTTATTTGTTTGAAAGAAAGCGCGGGAGCCTCGAACGAATTGCCAAGGAGCATAAATTCAAAGAAATGAAGATATCACACTGACAAGGGACGAAGGTTTCCTCTGAACAAAGGCTGTTTTCGAAAATGAATTCTGTAACCTGCAGATCTACTTATCATTCTTCATGTTATCAAACAGAATCCTGAACTAGCAAGAACTCAGAGGAGTTAATTGCGAGCATGTATTGAGAAAGCTATTATGTGGTTGTAACTTACAGTGCTTATTAAGTTGACAATTTGAATTTCCTGCGACAAACACTCAACAAACTCGTACTCCTTGTAATCTTGACATGAAGTGGTGTCAGATCCTGTAGCAAAATATTGCAAAAACAGCTTAAACACCAATATTTTCCTCTCAGTGCTCAAGAATACAGGGAAAGACTCTTTTCTTGGCCAATGCGTGAAAACCATGGTAACGGTTGATTGACGTCCACCAAACCACAGGTTTGAACTGAACAAGAAACCCTTTGAGGGTGCGTGTTAGTGATAACCGCTGTAAGTGAATTTAACTTGTAATATTTGTATAAAATAAAATTTGACAAAAGTACAAATTTTATCTTGTAATATAATGCTGAAAAACAAATTTATTTCATAGATAAAGTGCTGATATTAGATAAAGGCGCTTCATTTGAGTGGTCACACTATAGGATTTCATCCTCAGACTCAAAAGTTATAATAATAATAATATAATAATATTTAAAAATTTATAGCATGAAATATCTATATGAATTTATTATCAAATGCACAATGAAAATAATTATCACTTAGAAAGTGGAATCACCATCAAGGAATCGATCATTCACTCTATAACGAACTTAGTTTATTAAACTTTTTAGTTTTACTTATTACAGTTAATTTTGTTTTAACGTGTTTACTGGCAGATACAACCAAACCACAATGCAATCATTTATGCCTCCTGGGACAAATTTTGTCACCATTCTTCGACATCCTCTTTCAAGGTTTGAATCAGCTTTTCTCTTTGAAGATTTTCCAGCTTTTCTTGGCATTCCAGCATCTGCAAATCCATTCCAACACTTCTTTGAACACTTTGAGAAATTCAAGCATGATATAAACTCAATGTATACTCTTAGAAATGGAATGAGCTTTGATCTTGGTTTGGAACCTGATGATTTCGAGGACGCTACAGCAATCAGAAATTTCATCTCGTCAGTAGAGAATGATTTTCATCTTGTGTTACTCATGGAATACTTTGATGAGTCTTTGGTTATGTTAAAGCAACATTTTTGTTGGACTTTGGAGGATGTATTGTATCTGAAGCATAACTCAAGACTGCGTTCATCAAAGAAGCATCACATTCCAAGGCAGTTTGGGAATAAATTTTTGGATAGGAACAAAGCTGATGTCTTACTTTATGAACACTTTAATCAAACATTTTGGAGAAAGGTTAAGTCTCAGTATGACAATTTCTGGTCTGAAGTGAGGCTTTTGAAACAGAAATCACATGCAATGGCCAAGGAATGTTTACTACCAGGAGAGCACAAAGACGAGAGAAGGAAAAATATTGCTACAAAGTTAATATTAAATCCAAGAGTAGGCCATGATATGGAACATTTATGTCGGGAACTTGTGAAAGATGAAGGTGGTTATTTAACTTATTTTAGAGATATACAATTAAGAGAACGGTGACAAATTGTGAAACCAGATATGAAAAGAACTATATTTTTGTGATTTGTAAGGTGAATGATAGTATGGTTGTGAATGTTGAGTAATTTTATTAAAAGTAGATTCGTATGTGTTGTTACTGTATTTTTTCATAAGGGTATATAATTAAAGTACATTGACAAAGTTAGAAAAGAATTTGTAGCAGAGCTTCTACCCATTCTCAAGGTTGCAAACAAGGAATGGCTAATTTGCAGAAATCCTATCAAGCTAGACTTAGTTGTGCCGCATTAGGCCACACCCACACAGGGCACCCAACATAGCAACACAAAGATTGCTCAAGATATTATTGCCCAAGTCATGTTCTCGGCCTTCTTACCTCTTAACTCCCATAGGCAAGTCATTAACCTAGTTGATAAAATTCATCCTTCACAAACATGATCATGGTCAGCGAAACAATCCTGAAAATGCTATCCTGTGCATTGTTGTTTCTTTGGGTACCCTCCCTAGTTTTTCTTCAAAAGTCATGTAGTTTCTAGTATAGCCTGTTCCAGGCTCTCAGATAGTAGCCCCTTCTCTCCCCTGTTTCCTCCCGTTTTATTTTTGTGTTCGCGCTTTCTCAATTCAGCGGGCCCGACTATCTCGGAGCCTGGAACAGGCTATTTCTAGTATGGAACAGATCATGTCAAAGTCCATTGTCCTTCAACTGAAGGGACTGTGGACAGACTCATATAGCTGGGGTTAATTGACAGTTAACCCTGTTTTAATGACCGTGGCTATTGTCAATTGCCTCCCCCCCCCCTCCCCCCAAAGGAATTAAGATCTTAACAAAGTTTTAGTAAGAAAGCAAAGGAGATTTCACACTCAGTTTCGTAGGTGGTTAAGAAGGTTATGAACACCAGCTGAGACAATAACTGAGGAAATACAAATAGAGGAGCGTGGGCAATTGCACCAATAGATAATATATTTTCCAATGAGTTTTAATCGCTTTGGGATTTAGTTAGAATAGCACATTAAAGTCAAATTCATTCACTACACTATAGCATAATCACCCTCATACTGCCTCTTGACTATAGCATACACCTAATATATTTGTCCCTTTTGTCACTTTCATGACACCGCCCATATGAAAACACGCGGTAGTAGATACAGCATAAGATATACATTAATAAGCTAGGCGGCTCTAGAGGGAACACTTTTCAGCCATAATTTAAGAGACAAAATCAGAGCCTTCGCTAAGAGTTAGTGTGGGGCCTGGTACCTGTTAGACCACTCTGATAGATGAGTCACTGCTGAATGATGATCTTGGTGACACACTAGTTGACACAACATGCACCACGGAGACTATATTTGAAACTTTTTACCAATGAGACAACAAGACACTGTCAGGCATGCATAGTAATTCGATGTGATAGGATGCACTCCATATTTAAGCTATTTAAGCCGCTATAAAAAAACCTAAGCTACTTTACTCGTATACTAAGAAAACGATTCAACTACGGTAGGTTTACGCTAGAATTCTGTGCTCTGTAAATGTCCAGGAAAAGAAAGGAAAAAAACCGACCCGTGTAAACTAGTTTGCCTTATCGGTTTCCTTAATTAGGATTTCATTTTTCGCTTTTAAACCTTTATAAGGGTTTCAATTTTCAGTTCATGTTAAATGGGGTTAGTTTTAAGAGCCTTTACAACACACACCTGTCCTTAATTTTATGCAGTTTTGGCCTCTGGGAAGAAGTTCTTTTCAAAGACTAGTGAAGACTACATTGTTTTGTAACCATCGACTTTGGAGACACTCAAACAAATGCTGGCCGGTTTGACCGCAGTTATGTTATACTAAAGGCGCCTTCCGCAACTGTAAAATGATTGTAATACTTGCAAAAAGACAGAGAAAATAGACTGCAAAACAGTCGGTTTTTTTCTCAAAATCAGTAAAGAAATCGGTAAAGCGTGGCGTAAGAGTCTTACGCGCGCGAAGCACGCGAGCCTCACACGCCCGTGGGGCGTGTGAGGCGAGAGAAAAAAAACCGACTGTCCGTTTTCCATACAATGAGTTCGTTCCGACCAGGGGGTTCAAAAATGTCGTCGAGCTGTCAAAAATCTGTTCGCAACTCCGCCCTCTTTGTGAATTTGATAGACTCGCGTGTTATTATTTTTAGCGTTGCTTCTCTATGAAATGTAGTGTACAATATATAGTGAAATGTAGTATATATAGTGGAGGATCAAAAATGAGTGAAAGTGGCAGTACGACAACAAAGCCTGTGCCTGGTCCTCGGAGAGGGAGAAAGCCGAAAGGGCCGAGGGCTTTGGACAAATTGTAGAATGTGCGGCTGTTGTTTCAAAACACAGTTCGGCAATTTTACGAATGGATGGATAAGCTCGGAAAATGCGTTTGTTGCGCCTACCAGAAAAGGGGAAACGTTACCAAAGTGGGCCGACCTACTGAAAAACGAACTTTTCGTTGTCCTCGAGGAAGGAGAATCTTTCTCCACAAAAGCAGTTTGCTCTCCGTGCGGAACAACGGTTAGAAATTGTCCCGGGAAACTGCACGGCGATGCTTTCGCAAATTAGAGAAGAACTGAACACGCCAACTGACAATGAACAATTATTGCGATTGAAAAGAATGAGTAAATCCCCTCATTCCGAGCCACGTCTTGGTGATTTAGCTCTGTAAATTACTATCTGTGAGAATTTAAAATCCTGCCAAAAACGCTAACGAGCTGGGCCCAGCGTGACAAAACATTGCAGGAAAAAGTCACATTCACGGACACAAAGAAAATTGCTTAAAATTATTCAAATCCAGGAGGCACTTTGGAGAAATAAAACAACCTAAAACCCTTAATCAGCCGCAATGAAGAGCTTTACATTTCTAAAGGGGCCAAGAAAGAAAATGCTCTTGCGTCAGAGGGCGAATCATGCCTACCAGAGAAAATCAATATGCGTGTCACGACCTCTCAGTATGAAATATATTTAATAAGCGGCCAAAATTCACATTTGCTCAGTCAAAACGTTTTCCTCCAAAGTATAATCTACTCGACAGAGAAAACAATTCATTGGAACAAGCGGCATGTTTGATGGGGTAAAAGTCGTGTGTTTCCTACCGATCCCGCTTTTTTAGCCAGGCGAGATAACAATGACGGTCGGCCGTTGCACGGAACTTGAAGAACTCTTTGCATGAACAAACATCCGATAAATAAGGCTTTTGTCAAATCCTGTTGGTAGAACACAGAAAACATCCTTTTCCCTGAGTAGCAACTCCAAAGCTTCCCTCTGCTCCGATTTTAAAACAAATCCCAATTCCTGCGAGCAAATGCAGGCGATCAACATCTGTCATTTTACAGCGAAAGCTTTAGCAATTCATCACGGTATGGAACAACTTAACGTGAATGACATGTTGAAAACATTACTTGACAGCTTGGTGACAGCTTGCATCGAAATTTAGCCAATGGGAATTGCCCGTGGCTGGGAGAAGCGGGTAATTCGAACGAATATAACGTATGCAAAACGGACAGTCCGTATTTTTAGCGTCTCTCCCCAGTCTCGCTCTCTGTTTCAGCCTCATTCCAGACCTTTTGTTTGACTGCTCGCGCGTACTTGAATACGTAAAAATACGGACTGTTTGCAGTCTACAGAGAAAATAACTGGCAAATGATGAGTAATTTTCACTATTATTCCAAACGTTCCTCTCAGCTACAGTCTTTTTTTCACTTCATGTGATATTCCTCATAATGTTGAACTCCTTCGTGAGCAGTATCAAAGATAAATTTACATATTTTACAGACATAGTTGGCATCAAGCCAGTCCAGAAGTGTTGTTCTTTTTCCGTCGATGACCCAAGCCGACACCCTCTTGTCCTTTCGTAGAATCTTCGCCAACTCTTCGTAACGGCGACCCTCTCCGGAAACCAGGTACACATCGGGTTTCTTGAACCGGGAGAAGTCGTATGAACTTGCGTAGTAGACGAGTATGTCTTCGACAGCCTTCGGGAATGTGGTGAGGGACGAGTGTTTTATAACAATTGGTCTTCTATCGTCGTAAAGCTTTTTGTCGGGAATAGTGTTGCGAAGTTGGTTTTGATCTGCGTCTTTGCGGTGAAATACGTGAATTTCTATTTGGCTTCGCGACGGAAATCTTATGTCTCGTAAAAAGTCCTTACAAGCCTCCCACTCGATGAAAAACACAGTGTATACAAATGTCATCTTGTACAGGCGGTCGCTTAGTCTGAAAGAGAAACTCCAACAATTAA